TTCTGCTCCCAACATCTCTGTCTGCTGGAGTTTTTGGGGTTCTGAACAAAATCCGGGTTCCCTGGCTTTCCACCCTCCTTGCAGCATCTTGGGGACTATAGAAATAGTGTTGTTTTTAAATACCTCCATGGAGATTTTCAGTCCTCCAGGCCTCCCATGCTTCTCCCAAGGGTGCTTTTTCAAGAGGAATCTGCCACCTCCCGAAAAGGCACCACCACCACCACCACCACCACAGTCCATCCATCTGGCCGCCATGGTGGCTGCCGTGCCCATGTTTTTGCCAGTCCTGCTGAAGGCCGGTCGTCTTTCCACTCCACCCCGCAGGGTCCATGCCATCTTCCCCACTCCTGACTTGGCCCTCCTGAAGGATCACCAGGTGGAGAAGGTGGTGTCCTACGCCAAGAAGGTGGAAGGGGACGTCTACCAGTCGACCAACCACTGGGTAGGTGGCCAGGCTCTCCTCCTCCTCCTCACCGGGAAGGAGGCCCCTTCTCCCACGCTCCTGCCCAGCCGGGGCTCCCCACCCGGGACTGACCAGCCAGACCTGGGCTTCAGGTGGTTTCTCTCTGCCTGGACCTTGGAAGGGTCTCCCCACCCAGCCTTGTGCCCCCCCCCCCGGCAACCTCACCCCCCGCCTCCAAGGGGAAGGACCCCAGACAGAGGCCTCCAGGGACCCCTCTCGAGCTGGAAGGGGGGGCGATCTTGGGTGCTCTTTAAGAGCTGAGCTACTGAAGGCTCTGCTGAGGCCCAGGGAGGAGACAGCCATTGGCACAGCTCTAGACTTGCAACAGTCTGTTTAGTGACCGGTCGAAGTTACAGCGGCAGTAGAAAAAAAAAGGGACGTGACTGTTTTTCACAGTTACGACCGTTGCCGCATCCCCTTGGTCACGTGGTCAGCACCAAGGCCCTTGGGAAATAACTCGCATTTATGATGACTGTAGCGTTCGGGGGGAGGGTGTCACCTGATCTCCAGGCAAGCAAAGGCAATGGGGAAACCCAGATTGAACGACCGTGGCACTAACTTAACTGCAGTGATTCACTTAACAACTGTGCCAGGAAAGGTTACAGAACAAGGCGAAATCCACTTACCCGTCACCCGGTCCTTCAGGGCTCACCCGGGATGGCCGAGGGCTCCTTTCCCTGCTGTCCCCTGCCTGGCCCAGCGGACGCAGCTGCCTGCCCTCTCCCTTCCACTGCCCTCCTTCCCAGCCTGGGACGCGGAAGGGGAGGACAGAGGCTCCGCCTTCCTCCCCTCCTCCCAGTTGCTCCTCCGCTGATTCGGTGGCTGCAACTCTTCTGGCACCACCTTTGGGTGAGAAGTTCCCGCCTGGCTCTGAGGTGGAACCGTCGTTGCTTCCCAGGACATGTATTGCTGCCTCATTATGGTGAAGCTCTTCAAAATAGAGAAGGAACTGAGGGAGAAGAGGGCCCTCCGGGGCCACAAGCAAGGCATCGCGGATGCCCAGGCCTCGCCCAGGGGACCAGCCCAGCCTGCGGTGCCTCTCGGTAAGTTCTTCGCAGGGAAGCCAGGGGAAACGGGAAGACCTCTGGGTCTGGGCGTGTCTCGGGAACCGGGGGGACTCGTTGCCTGCTTTTTCTCCTCTGGAGAAGTGCCCTCCTCACTTGGGTAGATGCCAGCTTGCTATGGACTGTGGGGAGGGGGAGGGAGCTGCCCGGGAACCCGTTGTACTTTCCTGAGGCATCAGCTGATTGTCCCAAGACCAGGGGCCGGGAAGTGGAATGCAACGGCCCCTCCTGATCTACCGAAACCATTCGTTCGAACATAACTGGGCAGTAGAGAGATGACGGGGGAGAGGAACGAGGAAGGGAAAGTTATCGGGGGGAACTTTCGGGTGCAGATTTTTAGTTCTGGCTTTGCTGCATTGTATCCCCTCATCTCTCAGTAAAAGTTTATCTCTTGCCCAGCCGGAGTCGAGGGTGTCTCTTTCCTAAGAACCCAGGTTGGGGCAGGCATGACATCAACTTTGGCCGCTGCTCGAGAAGAATTTCTCCCCTGTCAAAAGAGCCGGGTTTTGTGAGAGGTGGGCTTCCTCTCGCCAACGTTGGGCAGGGCCTCCTGGTTGCAGCTGCTACATGTTGCTGACAGCTCCCTGAAAGTTGGCAGGAAGAGCAGGCCACCCTTGGGGGCAGCTTCCTGGTCCTGGTGTGGAAGACGGGTCCTTCCCTCGGCCGGGATGCTTTCTGGGGTTTTGTGTCCACTGGCTGGGGTGTAACGGTTGCTTCCACACGCACCCCAAATAAAACGTTTCTCTGGAGGAGGTCAGTTGGCTTCCGCCCGTTGCTTCTTTGGGTTGCCCTGGGTCACAGCTGTCTTTCAAAGGTCCTGGATGTTCAAGGATGGTTGATTGACAGGCTGGACCAGTTCAAGGCAAGAGACGGGCAGCTGTCTCTTTGAATGGTCGCTTGTCCCTCTGTTTTAGCTGGGCCTCTGGGACGATGGCTTCTCCGGGCTGCTTTGGGCTTCATCGGTGGCTTTCTGAGCAGTTGTGGTTCTGCCAGTTGTGAAGAGTCTTCCATCACAGCGTCTTCCTTGCCTCCGGTCCAGCTGGCCGCAGGCTCTGCCTTTTGGCTAACAGAGGCCGTTTTTAACAAAACGGCCTCGTTTCAGGCGGCATTTTTTTGCTCTGTGGAGTCCGGCAGGGAACCGGGCGTTACGAAGCCTTCACTTCTCTGTTGTGCTTGCTTTGCTGATCCGTTGTGTGTGTCCAAAATGTCCTTACTGGGGTTGGAAAACTCCAGGTTGCATTCCTGCGCGTGTGTGTATGTGTCTTGGTCAGAATGAGGGCCATTGCAGTGTTAGGGGCTTTTCCGCCTCCCTTCCCAGCTTCTCAAAGGAAGGATTTTGGTCTGCCGTTTTTTGTGGTGGTGGTGGTGGTGAGTTTGGAGAGGAGAGCCTTGGTTTTATCTCTGTTGCTGCTCTTTAATTTTTCCCTCCAACCTCCCAACTCAACATGGCGGCTAATTCGGCCGCCGGATTGCAGCTTCAGGAGCAAAACCCTCGTCTGCTGATGTCTGGCTTGTGAAGTGACCGACTCTGGATTCCCCGCAGGGAAGTTCTGTCCCCGAGGGAGGAGAAACACCCCCCCTTTTGTTCCACTGCCAGATTCGATTCTTGGCCAGATCAGGGCTGGGTCTGGCAGATCTCCCGGATCAGGGCTGGGTGTGTTTTGTGCCCTTTCCCGCCCTGTAGGGGATCCACCCTGCCAGGCCAACAACCTCTTGGTTGTTTCCGGGAGCGTTCATTCTGGCCTCCCTGAATGCCACTTGCCGTCTTTCCTCCTCTTCTCCTTCGGGTGCTCCCTCCCCCACCCTGGCTGGGAGCTGTTCTCGGCCTTCCCCCCAGGCTGCCTTGGATCGTGGCCCCGGGGGGGGGCCCTTCGGCTATTAGGCCCCTTTCTGGCCAGGGTTCCCTGAGGCAGCCCAAGCCCCTGTTTCCAGCATCCCTTGTCCAGACTTTAACCTTGACACCCTAACATGGCCAGCGTCCTTGTCTCCTTCCCTGACAGGCGGGGGAGCTGCATTCCCCGGAGCCCCAAGAGGCGAATCTTCTCCCCCTTCACTTGTGGGGTGGTGGAAATAAAGAATGCCTGGATTGGTGTTTTCAGTCGTGGACGGATTTTCAGTGGCTCTTCTTGTGCGCCGCCCAGAATTGCCTTCTGTGAGATGGGCAGGAACATCCGTGGGATATAATCAGTGGACAAATACAAGGGGAATGCTCTCTGCGGCTGCCTTCCAGTGATTCTGGTCCTGTATCCCTTCTCCTCCTCCAGATGGCCCGTTTTAAGCATATGAGGTTTATTCTTTCCAAGGTCTGAGTGTTTACTGACCGCTCAGAAGCCAATTGAGCTGGACAGCTGGTCTCTTTCCTCTCAGGGCTTCGGCGGCCATGATGAAATCTCCTTTTCTGAACAGTCCAAAGACACCCTTGTCCCCCAGCCTGGTCCTGAGAGGCCCTTCCTGTCCCTCGTGCCTGGGGCACCTCCCAGCTCTCCCCCCCCCCCCCAAAGGCCATGTGGGTTCGGGTTAGTCCCTTGGGATGCTCCCCACAGGCGATCCCTTCAAATTACAAGACTATTTTCCATTAAGGGAGCCTCTGCGGGCGGAAGGCAGAGGTGGCGTTCAGCAGGTTCTGAGCAGTTCTGGAGAACCAGTAGCGGAAATTTGGAGTAGTTTGGAGAACTGGGGGTAACCTTCCCCCAGGAGCGGGGAGGGAATGGAGATTTTGCAGTATCCTTCCCCTGCCACGCCCACCAAGCCACGCCCACAGAACCAATAGTAAAAAAAATTTGAATCCGACCCCTGGGTGGAAGCAAGTTGGCTTTGATGATCCTCCAGGGTTAGGGTGAGGGCAAGTTGCGGGAACTGAGAAGCCCTTTCGAGCCAGGCTAATGAGCAAAACCCTCCTGACCGAGTTTGGCCAAGATGCAAGGCTTTTCTTAACCTGGTCAGTTTTCTACTCGGATGACTTTGTCTTTCAGCAGAAACACAGTTGAAGAGGCTGAAGAGGGTTGTGTGTTTTTATTGCAGGCAGTCAGCTGGCCACCCCGGAAGTGCCTCCGAGCCCCACCTAGGACCCCCCAGGTATACTTGCTTTCCCTTTCGCTATTTGTAGCCAGCCTTCCCATCTCGCGGCGGCAGCTTTTCCTAACCCCAAGAACCCCGACAGGGAAGCCAACTCGGACGGGAGAGGCTGAAGCGATGGAGCCGTTTCCCACCATCGCTCCAGCAAAGGATTCGGCTTCTTCTGTTCGGCCCAGCCAAAGTGGGGCCAGGGCGGGGAGCCTCGGTCGCCCGACTGGCTCTGGGGCGATGCCCGGGAGTCTCTGCAGGCGCAGCCCCCTGCCTCCCTTCCCCAGTTGGACGGGCAATTTGGGGAAGTCCAAAAGGTTTCTCTCTGCGGGTGGCGTCAAGCTAGCCTTCCCTTGAGCCTTTGCGAGTTTCCCTGCTTCTTGCGGGAGGGCAGTTTTTCTGTCTTTGCTTAACCCAGATTTGGAGTTTAGGGTGTCGTGTGAAGCCGTTGGTTTCACTGCCAGGGGTGACTCTCACGGCCAGAGTTGGGGCTGGGAGCCCATGGCGTTCAGACGCAGCCGGCTGAGCTGTCCTGGGGTACCTTTTGCAGGTGTCCCTCCGCTGAACCCCATGTCCATTTGGACCATCCAGACCTCTCCCGTTTCGCTGGACCCCCTGGCGGCCCCCCAGACAAGCCCGCCTGCTCAGACCCACGGCGAGGAAGCGGCTCCGGCGGTTGGTTCCCCCTCCCCCCAGCCCTTCACTGCACCCAGATGGTGCACTGTGTGGATCTCACCCTGTTCAGATGTTCATAGCGTGACTCTCCGAGGCGGGCAGGGCAAATACACTGCGCGGGGGAGGACTCACTCCTGCAGAATCGGTTTGCAGCTGTGCCGATCCTAAACGGGGAGGAAGAGTCCTTTTCCCGCTCCCATGTCTGGGTGGGAAAATTCCTGTGTGGTGGGTTCAGGTCTGGAGAAGCCGCTGGCCCTCATCTTGGGTCCGTTCCCCTTTCGCCTCGGAGTCGGTGCCCCTCGCACCCCAGTCTTGTAGCCTGATGGTCCATCTTGTTTGCTAGGTGCCCGCCAGTTCCCCTTGGCTGCCTCAGCCCCAAAGTGCAACAAGGGCCTCTTTGGGCACCTTCCCGAGCCCTCCACCGGCCCCCGGCCAGTTCCTTCCCCCGCATCTGTTTCCTGCCCCCCTTGGAGCTCTGGACGCCAGCCTGGGCATCCTGGGGGAATCGGCTCCACAGGACGGAGGAGCCCAGGTAGGCCTGGAGGGCTGTGTGTGTGTGTTTGTGTGCTCCGTTTCCCTTGCCCACTTGCGGGGAAATTGAAGGTTTTAGCTGGCAAAGGTTTTCGTATTCGGAGGGTGTGTGTGTGTGCGTGTGTGTGTGTGTGTTCCCTGAGAGGTCGCGAGGGGCCCCTTCTCTCCTGCCCCTTCCTGGGCCCTTGTGGGCAGCAGAATCGTTGGCCACCTGATGCCACAACCCCCTACAGGGGGGCCCAGCCTGCCAGTTGTGGCTGCTCCTGCATGCGCTGTGACTGGTACTGAAGACTTGGGGGGACTCAGCTTGCCCCCCCCTCCTTCGGTCGGGGCGGGGGCCCTTTGCAAAGAGGGGCCCCTGGTGGGGTTTGATGAGTTTCTGGATGCTCCGCTGATGGTTCTTCCTCCCAGCAGGGCCAGGACCCAGGCTCCCCCCCACTCTCACTCTGTGCCCGCCGTGACCCTTCTGCCTCCTCACGCCTTGCCAGGGGCCCAGAGTCAAAGTGCATCCTTGGGGCCGATGGCGTCGGCGGCAGCAGCAGTGGGCCTGAGCCTGGAGTCTCCTTCCCAGCAGCAGCCCCACCCACCCTGCCCGAAGTCAGCCCCGGGCCCTGGCACCCTGGTGAGTGGGGCCTCTTGAGTCGGCCTCTCAGCAAGAGCCCCAAAATGGTGCCAGGAAGGTTTCTGGACTGCTTCTTCCACCGGGTGGGGGGTGGGGGTGGGGGAATATTGGCCCCACCCCTTTTTCGCTGCCTTTTCTGCTTCGGCTGTTGTGCCAAAGGGTCCTTGCAAAAGCCCAGTTGTGGCTGTTCTGGACGCCTCTGCCTGAGGAGGGAAGCCACCAGGGGGGGCGGGGGATGAAGCCCCCAGGTCGAGAGGGGCTTCCTGTTTGCCAGGAATTCCGCGGAGAAGCTCCTCGTTTTGCCTCAGCTCCCTTCCTGGACTGCCATGGCTGACTTTCCTTTCCACCAGGGGGACCCCCACTTTGGGACCAGAGAGGCTGCCTCCCATGGGCTGCTAGGTAAGTTGAGCGGGTCCTTCCATGCCTCCCCAGTCTT